AACTCAAATAATAATTTTTTCTATAGTTTTAGCGTCCGAGAAACCAGAATTTCACATGCATAAGTCAGATTGGTGTTTGTTTTAGGTATTCATTAATTTACCTGAGATGAGGGGTGGTATTGAATAAATAATAGTCTTCAAAATTCAGTCTGCCAAAATTCAATCTCTCCATTCTTCTTAACAGTTTTAGAGTATTATAACCAACAAGATTTTGAATACTGAGTTCATTAGTAGCACTTCCCGTTAATGAGGATGTAGATATATCAGAATTTGTAGTACCTGAAATAAACGTAATATTCTAAAACGGTGTATTTATTCATGACAATATTCTTACTGGTAGATGATATTCGATAAGACACCCGTCTGAATTGGGTAGACGGTAACTGTAAAGTACTTAAACTTGAAGAACTAGGAATCGGGCTCAAAGTTTTCAAATAATTACCACTAAAATGAAAATAGCAATGAAAATAATTGTTATGTAAAACTGTTCTGGAGTGTGTTCACCTTGTACCATGCTTATTGGGCAACGAATCACAAGAACTGACTCCAGAAGTAGTAGATTCTGTCATGGAATTATTTCTATATCTCCCGAACGTTCCAGGAATTAAACCCGATTTGTTTTCTTCCTCGAATCCATTGTTACCATCAAATGTTTTCGATTCAGAAAAAGATCGTTTATGGAACACAATCGGAGGTCTTTTATTTGAAGGCAGTGTCAATTGTCTCATTCTATGTAACTCTGAAAAAATACCAAAACCACATTTGAGATTTATCAATATATATAAAAAGAACAAGAAATACCTGGAGAACAGGGGGACCTTATGAAATCTTGCCTCTCTCTCAAGTCAATTTCATCATCACCATCATCGTCGTCATCATCAACGTTCTCAAACTCCCCTGTGAAGGGGTTATCAAGAGATATTATATCTTCTAGAGTTGACCTACTGGAGATATTTCCATACTGTCCCTCGGAAATATCTTCTCGTATGATGGGCCAGTTATCATGCCTATCATGTCTAGTACATAGCCAACCTTTTCTGCTTAAATCATCAGCCCCTAAAGGAGTAGTTCCCAGCAGACCCATAGCATAGAAAGCTGTTGCTCGTATGGAATACACTGGCGATTTGGTTGCCAGTAACACAATATTATCAATTACACCAAAGGAGGTTAAGTAATCATAGCCTCTGTTCGAACTGCCCATGTGTCCGAGGGACCACACTGAAGCTTTAAGTTCGATAATATTTTCATCTGTATTATATCTAGCTTTTCGAACAATCTAAAACACAAGTTTTGTTAGTTATTTTTGGTTGTAAATATGTAATGAAATATTAATAATAATCGTCATCAGTTATCACAATTGTTACAAATTCAATTGCATTTATCTTAGACTTGGCCACATTGAAAATTTACTTGGAAAATTTCAGCATTTCCCAAAGTACTGTTCAGAATAAGAAATGTAGTTTCAATTAATTTTTGATTAGTATATTCTAATCTCTCCGTTCTCTT